GTTTTAGGGTTTCAGGATTGTTGTATTCTCTGTTTGGCTTAGTTTTTTGGATCTTTGCTGTGGAGGGATGGTGTGGTGCTTCTGCCTAGAGCACCGTTTTGCCGAAACTCCTCTTTTTTTTTTTTTTTAATTGTGCTTTTGGTGAAAGTTTTTAGAGAAGATTAATTTCTCATTCAACAATTTTGACATTGGTTGCAATCCCCGTGATGTGTCAACACTCTCCCTTTCCCTACCCCAGTTTTCCAGTTTTTATCCATCTATTCCTCCTGTCCCTTCCTGCCTTCTTGTCTTTGCTTTTGGGAAGGTGTTGCCTATTTTGGCTTGTATACATGATTGAACTAAGAAGCATGTTCCTCACTTGTGTTATTGTTTTGTAGACCTGTCTGATCTTTGGCTTAAGGTTGAACTTTGGGAGTGTTTTCAGTTCTGAGTTAAAAGGATATCAGGGGGCATAGTCTTGGGTGTTGCTCCAGTCTCTGTCAGACCAGTAAGTCTGTTTTGCGTGTGTGTGTGTGTGAATTTGAATTTTGTTCTACATTTTCTCCTTCTCTGTCCAGGAGTCTCTCTTGTGTTCTCTTTTAGATTGGTCATTGGTGGTAGCTGGGCACTATTTAGTTGTTTAAGGCTCAGGCTGGTGGAGGCTTGGTTCATGTGGTTCCTTAGTCTCTTGGACTAATATTTTCCTTGTGCATTTGGTTTTCTTCATTCTCCTTTGCTCTGAATGTGATGGGACCCATATATGTAGATGCTGCCCACAAGCTTTTAAGACCCCAGACACTACTCACAAAAGTTAGAGGTAGAACATTTTCTTTATGAACTATGTTATGTCAATTGATCTAGTGACCCCCACGACCATGGTCCCCAGCTCTCAGCCTCAGTAACTTAGTTCCTTAGGGTGTTTGGATGTGTATATTAAGCTTCTATGACTTTGCCTTGGTCAAGATGTGTATCTATTTGCACATATTGAATCCCATGTGCTCAATTATAAAGTTTAACAAATTTTCCGGGAGAATCATTGTGCCGCTATCAGTTTTTACCTCGAGTTTCTGCTTTTTCTTCATTTTGAGTCCAATGACAATTGTTTTTTTTTTTTAAATAAGTTAGTCTACAAATCTTATAGTGTATTTTACATTTATAGCCAGTGTTTCAAGTATTCCCATCTATCTACCCTATCTATCTATCTATCTACCTGCCTACCTATCTGCTATCATCTATCTATTAATTTTTAAGGAGAGTTTAGTTACATCTAGGCTCCCATCTTGTTAGAAGTAGAAGTCCAACTGTGTGTATTTGTTTTTAATAACCATTGTCTTCCTAGTGTCTAACACAATGTTTACCTTGTCTTTCTCCCTCAAGTAATACTTCTTACATGAATGATAATATTGAAGCTAAATATAATATCTAACAGCAGTGACATGTGACCATTTTATGTGTTACATAGAATGCACATTTAGACTATAAACAAATTATGTGTGTGGGTGGTTGGATGTTGCTTTATAAGAAATTAAAAAAAAAATAGCTATGATCAAGCCTGATTCCATTTATGCTTTTCTGCCTTACCAGAAGTAGGCCCAGCCCATACTATATCTTAATGGAATGCTATTTCAGTCAGACAAAGTATTCACAACCAATGTTTCTAATATTTTCTCACCCTTTGCTCCACGATTCCCTCTACTCTTTGTAACATTTTTTGTACTACGCCTTAGAGGAAACCAGATCCGTGGAGACACTTGAGAATGTCCCTTGAGAAATCAGAACACAGCCTAAAGTGTAATTTTGTTGTTTTTGTGGTTGTATTAGTTTAATCAGCGTCTGAACTGATTAACATGGACCTTGGCCTCATTAGAAAAAAAATTACATATATATACCAATCTGTCCCTTATTTCAAATTTGTCCTCTTTGGCGAAATAATTATAGATGTAAAATCATTGTTCAAATAGGTTGCACATTTTCTAATTAAGCCTAAACTTTACTTACCTAGAAAAATCTTCAGCTTTCTACTATTAAAATATTGAACATTCTGACTCTCAAAAAAATATTAATTTCCCATTTCGGAATAAAGTTTAAGAAACCATGGGAAAAGACGTGAACATTATCAATAAGCTGTTTCCTAAACTTTCTTCTGTCCTTGGTAAGTTAAATTCATTTATTTGATTATATTCCTACTTCTTTGAATATACTTGTATGTAGCACTTATTCTTCAGGTAATTGAAAATTTCAACAATGATAGAATTCCATCCTGATTGTGAATCAAAGTGCATGTAAGCCAACTCCTTATCTTATTATTTAATACCTTTTACATCATTGCAAGCAAGTTTTGCTGACAAAAGTTACATAGTTTTATAATTGGGTAATTAATATGAGTTCATTTCTAATTCTTTTTAATAATTTTGTTTCCTAAATTATAGTTTGAAATTAAATTTGTATTTATAAGACTTACTCTTTCACTGAGAAAAATATTCAGTCAATATTCTAGGGGTGGCAGAAAGAATAGATGGAAATTCAGTCTGTAAAAACACAGCTCTTAAATATTCAGGCTTATAGTTATTTGCTGACTTTACTCTCCCAAATTGTCAAATTTGTTGATAGTCTCTAAAAAACAAAAAAAAAAGTGAGCAATCATGGAAAAATACAGATATGTATTTTATTTCATCTTTCACTTCACTTAACAAGGCTAATTTGCAAACAATTATTTAAAATGTGCTTTTAATTACTAGAAATAAAAATAGATAAACAAACTGTACTTAATCATTGTGGAAATGCTCCAAAATATAAAACAGCATGATTACAATATTTTCCAACTTTTCTATTAATCACCATGAAACAAAAGATTTCACATCCTAAATATATAGAACTGTTCTATCTAGGTAACTAGACAGCTATAGTTCATATAACTATATAGCTATCTAATTAATAAAATGCTTAATTTAATCCCAATGCCACAGTATATATTTGTTGCAACTGTCTCCTTCAATTATCTCAGCAATCTTAGGGAAGTAAATATAATTATATCCGGGATCTAAAAAGTTAAATAACTTGTACACCAAAATAAAGCCAGTTATTGGCTGCGGTACGACTTGACCAATGTCTAATAGATTCCCGTCTCTTCCAGTTGTGGCAATTAAAATAAATTTAAAAAGCAGTTATAGTCCAGTTGACTGACTTATGGCAATCCTATGTGTGTCACAGGAGAACTGTGATCCATAGGGTTTTCAGTTGTTGATTTTTCAGAAATAGATTGCTACGCTTTTCTTCTGAGACACCTCTGGTGTCCTTGAACCTCCAGTCTTTAGGTTAACAGTCAAGTGCATTATCTGTTTGCACCACCCAAGGACTCTAAAATACATAAATGGTATAAAATACAAGTAAGCCAAATTGATCACTATTTGTATATACTCATGTCTAAACTACACTCTAAATTAATAGAGAATAAGTGAAAGAGAGAGAGAGAGAGATGGCTCATAAGTAAATATGGACAGCTTTGAATATAAGGTATAGGTAACCAGCCATATAATGGAAATTGTGTTTTTTAGAAAGCCTTAAAATGACTTACATATCTATTATAGGATGAAGAATATGAAGAAGTATCAAAGAGCAATTGGTGAGTATATGCATTCATATTCTCAGTCTCAGGAAAAACAGAGAGACTACTTTTGGTCCTGACATGAAAGACACTGGTTTCTGTATCCTCAGTCTCAGAGTTAGCAGCCCTGTGGGGCTGTTCTTCCACCATGGCAACGGGGAAGATCCCCCAAAAGCCAAAAACGTGGCTACTTTTAAAGGTAGCAAACAAGAGACAGACTTTTGTGTAATGAATTTCAGAGTTAACCGATGCCACTAACGCCTCTGATGGTTCCACAAGCTAGATTCTTGGGCACTTTTAAATGTCATCACTTGATAGATACCTGAGCTATGTTACCAGGATGGCAACCTCTTTGATGTCTGTAATTCACCACGCGTCTATCCGTTAGTCATACTGTGGTGTCTATAATAATGCATTGGTAGGTCAATTCCATATACAACTTCAAAATAAAGATTATTTTGGAGACTCTTCCTATTCAATAATTTCATAGTTAAAAAATTAGAGGCTATTATGGATATTCCTGTTAATTTCAACGGCCATCTGTGTTTTCTTAGTGCTAGCATCACTCCGTTATTGACGTAGACATTTTAGAGTCAGACTGAAACTTTGAGAGACAATTTTTTTGGGGGAGCACACTGGTTTCTATGGAATATAAGAATGATTAAAAAAAAATTACCGAAAAGGAAATTAATACAAAATCCAAACCAGTTGCCATCAAATTGACCCCAACTCATGGCAACCTCATGTGTGTCAGAGTAGAATTATGCTCAATATGGTTTTTAATGAATGATTTTTCGGAAGTAGATCACCAGACCTTTCTTCCAGGATGCCTCTGGGTGGACTTGAACCACCACCCTTTTGGTTAGCAGTGAGCAGGTTAACTATTTGCAAGACCCAGGGACTCCTGGAAAGAAAATTTGAGACCATCGAATCCACATATTAATTTTATTGGTAACAAAACTCAGGATGGGAAAAAATATTATTAATTCAAAAACCAAAGCAGTAGTTCTCTGCATTTGGTCTGAATATGTATTTACCGTTTTTGCCTACTAAATTGTAATCCCTGCATCTTTTTTTCACAACAGATTTTGTGAAAACAAACAGCAAATGGCTGAAGAGAATTTCACAGTCCTTACTGAGTTTATTCTTCTGGGACTGACAGATCGGGCTGAAATGAAAATTATGTTTTTTGTGTTGTTCCTAATGATTTATGCCATTACCTTTGTGGGGAATCTGGGCATGATCTTCTTAATCTACGTCACTCCCAAGCTCCACACACCCATGTATTTTTTCCTCAGTTGTCTCTCATTTGTGGACACCTGCTATTCATCTGCCATTGCACCCAAAATGCTGATAAACTTCCTAGTTGTGAAGGGAACCATTTCTTTCTCTGCTTGCATGGTGCAGCTTTTGTGTTTTGGGGTGTTTGTTACCACAGAAGGGTTCTTACTTTCAGTGATGGCATATGACCGTTACATGGCCATTGTGAACCCTTTGCTTTACACTGTAGCCATGTCTCAGAGAAAGTGTGTAGTACTGGTCACTGGGTCATGGATATGTGGAACACTTAACTCATTAATACACACAATAAGCTTGGGCAAACTCCTCTTTTGTGGTCCAAATGTCGTCAGCCACTTCTTCTGTGATATCCACTCACTGCTAAAGCTGTCATGTTCTGATACTTCCATGAATGAGCTATTGCTGTTAACCTTCTCTGGGGTCATCGCCATAGCCACCTTCTTGATTGTGATCATTTCCTACATGTTCCTCCTTGTTGCTATACTGAGGATCTGCTCAGCAGCAGGCAGACAGAAAGCCTTCTCCACCTGCGCCTCTCACCTGACTGCTGTGACCATGTTCTATGGTACCTTAAGCTTCAGTTACATTCAGCCAACCTCCCAGTATTCTGTAGAAAAGGAGAAGACGGTTGCTGTGTTCTACACACTAGTGATTCCCATGTTAAACCCATTGATTTACAGTCTGAGAAACAAAGAGGTAAAGGATGCTGTGAAAAGGGCCATAAAAATAAAACACTTGCCTTGTTGATTTTCCCTATCGATCCTACAATATTCTATCAGTCAGTTTTCTGTTACTTAACCTTCACAAGACTTCTATGAATTAACGCTAAAGCTTCTAGGGTTTGTATAGATCCTTTCATTCTGGATACTTATTTGTCATACCAGGAGGCAGACCTGAAAGGGAAAGTTATTTAATCCATATAGCTGCATTATATAAAAGATATCCCATTACATTAATTTTTGAATCAATGCAAAATACAGTATTACATTTATATTTTCTGGTAGATTAAGAAGATACATGTATATATAACACTTGCATTAAGGACAGGAAGAAGAAAGGTAATGTCTAAGAAAAAAAATTAGTCCTTGAATTTCTAAGAAAATAGGTATAATTGTATAACTGCAATGTGCTTTCATTTAAGGATTTGAATAATTTTTTAAATCTTCTAAAGAGTGACAGACCCTCATAAATAAAAAGGATATCTTGTTTCCCATTCAGCTATTCCAAAAACATGTTATTTAATCAAAGTTTATTTCTTTTTCTGGACCTTAATTTATCTCCAAAGGAGTGGCTGTCCAAGATTATAACAGAATCCTCATTTGATTTCAACTTCAAATTTTAAAATGTAAATTACATGTGTAGCAAGACTTAAAGAGCAATTTTGAAGTAGCTAACATTCAAAACCCATTCAGTCTCTTCTCTTAGAAATCACATTCCTTTTCATTCAAGATGTTTTAAAAAATTTCCAGGAAAATATGTCACATTCTGGAAACATACCCTTTGTAGAATACACTTCAAACCAGACTCTGTAAGCTAACACGTATTGGCTCAATTCTGTTATTATTAATTCTGTGATTCTATGCACTATATTTTATAGTGTCAACCTCTATTTACCATTAACAAGACTTTCGTGGGAAATATATTTGAATTAACATTAAATTAATTTGAATTGAGTGCATTTTTTCTGTATTTTTGATCTTCCATTTTCTACCAAGATTAGTAGCAGCAACATGGATTTCTTAAAGCAATGAGTTGAAGAAATATTCAAATGACATTATAATTGCTATTTTACAATTGACAGGAGGGACACATTCACTTGCCAACAAAAATCTCTAGATTTAAAAAGTGAAAAACAGTTTTTAGTTATTCCTAAATAAATATATATATATAATTGTAAAAATTATTGTTTTAACAAACGATTTTTTAAACTTATATGATATGGATGTGGATCAATTTAAAATATATACTGCAATCATTTATGTGTAATAAGAGCCTTAGGCCATAAAAAATTAGTTCCAACTGCAATAATAATCATCATCTTTATTATAATGTTGTTGTTGTTGTTAGGTGCCCTCAATTTGGTTCTGACTCATAGTGATCCTATGAACAACAGAATGTAACACTGCCCTGTCCTACACCATTCTCACAATGGTTGCTATGTTTGAGCCCATTGTTGCAGCCACCGTTTCAATCCATCTCTCTGAAGATCTTTCTCTTTTTCACTGACCTTCTACTTTATCAAGTATGATGTCCTTCTCCAGGGATATGTCCAAACTATGTGAGATGAAGTCTCATCGTCCTCACTTAAAAGGAGCATTCTGGCTGGACTTCTTCCAAGACAGATTTGTTCATTCTTCTGGCAGTCCACGGTATATTTGATATTCTTTGCCAACATCATAATTCAAAAGCATCAGTTCTTCTTTGGGGTTCCTTATTCAGTGTCCAGCTTTCAAATGCATATGAGATGATTGAAAATACCATGACTTCGGTCAGGTGCACCTTAGTCCTCAGAGTGACGTCTTTGCTATTGAACTCTTTAAAGAGGTCTTTTCCAACATGTTTGCTCATTGCAATAAGTCACTTTATTTCTTGACTGCTGCTTCCATGGACTTTGATTGTGCATCCAAGTACAATTAAATGCTTAACAACTTCAATATTTTCTATGTTTAGCATGATGTTGTTCATTGGTCCAGTTAAGAGGAGTTTTTTTTTTTTTTTCTTTATGTTGAGGTGCAATCCATATTGAAGGCTGCAGTCTTTGATCTTCATCAGTAAGTACTGAAGTCGTCTTCACTTTGAGCAAGCAAGGTTGTGTTATTTGCATATCACAGGTTGTTAATGAGTCTTCCTCTAATCCTGACCCTGTTTTCATCTTCATATAGTCCACCTTCTCTGATTATTTGTTCAGTATACAGATTGAATAAGTATGGTGAAAAGATACAACCCCAATACACACCTTTCCTGATTTTAAACCACACGGTATAGTATCGCCATGTTCTGTTTGAATGATTGCCTCTTGGTCTATGTACAGGTTTCTCATGAGCACAGATAAGTCTTCTGGAATTCACATTCTTAGCAATGTTATCCATAATTTGTTATGACACACACAGTCAAATGCCTTTACACAGTCAATACAACACAGGTAAAACATCTTTCTGATATTCTCTGCTTTCATCCAAGATCCATCTGACATCAGCAATGATGTCATTGCAAATTGTACTTTTATTGTAAATTGTACTTTTTACAATTGTTTATTGTAATTGTACTTTTATTCAAACTTCCAATTGTTTATTTCTAGTATACAGAATACAATTGATTATGAATGTTGACTTTGCACAATAGGACATTGCTATATTAAATTATCAGTTCTAGTAAATTTTGCAGATTCTTTTTTTACAGAAAAAATCATGTCACTAGCAAATAGAGATGGTTTTATTCCTTTGTTTCAAATATGTGTCTTTTTATTCGTTTTTCTTGCCTTATTGCACAAAGTGGGACCTCCATCATAGAGTCAAATAGATGTGGTGAAAGTAAACATCCTCACCTTTTTTCTCTTCAGAGGTGTAGTGCATTTCATCCTTTCATGATCAAGTATGATATCAGCTCTAGGTTTTTATAGATGCCCATTATCACTTTTTATGAAATTCCCTTCTATTCCTCGTTTCCTGAGAGTTATTTTTGTTTCATGAATGGATAGGGAATTTTGTCAACTATTTTATGCATCAAGTGAGAAGATCATGTATTTTTTCCTTCTTTATTCTGTTGATACAGCAAATTGTATTTATTGATTTTTAAATGTTAAACCAGCCTTGCATTCCCAAAATAAACCTCCTTTGGTCAGGATGTATTGACCTTATTGTATACGTTGAATTAATTTTAGTAATATTTTATTGATTTTTGTGTGTAAGATCACGAGGTACATTGGTCCCCGGTCTTCTCTTCTAGTAATACGTTTAGTGTTGGTCTGGTTTTGGTGTCTGGGTAATGACAGACTCATATAATGAATTGGGAAGTGATCCCTAGTCTTCTACTTTCTGGAAGAGATTGTTTAGAATTGGTAGTTGTTTTTTTATTAAATATCAGTAGAATTTTTCAGTGACATCATTTCAGTCCAGAGATTCCTTTTTTGGAAGCTGTTTTGTTATTTATTTATTTAATTTTGAGAATACAACCATTTTAATAGATAAATAATCATCAGGTTCCCTAGTACAAAAGAGTTAGTTTTGTTATTTGTGTCTTTTAAAGATTTTGTCCTTTTATCTATGGTCTAAGTTTTATAAGCAAAATTTTGTTTCTGATATTCCTATATTATACTTTTAATATCTGTAGGATCAAAGTCATGTGTCCTTGTTCATTGCTCAAATTCATAACTGTTGGTCTGGTCTTTGTTTCTTGTTCTGCCTAGCTAAAGTTTTATCATTCTTATTGATCTTCAAGAACCAGCTTGAGATGTCATTGATTTTTATCCATTGCTTTTCTGTTGTCAGTTTTGTTGACTTCTGCTGGGATTGAGAGAGGAGATAACTACAAAGGAGCTATGGAAAAATTTTGATGGTGATGGAACTTTTCTATATTTTAATTGTATGGTGATAAAAAAGGTTAGAAAAATACTTTAAAAATGTGAATTTTACTGTGTGTAAATTAACACCAATAAAAATATGTCATGCCAAATGAATACAAAGATAATAAATGTAAATTTTTATACTTTAGAGTATTATTTGGGTATAAGTTTTGGTAATTGTAATATCAGCAAAAATTTCTGAACATTTTTTCTATCATTTCTTATTAGCTTGACTTTGGCTCATGTCTCCCAGCATCAATTTTAGAAAAATTTCATGTATTTCAGTCCAAGGAGCAATTTTATTTTTCTTGAGATTTCCTGACGAATCTGTCCCAGTGAGTTTTAGATTAATTATACTTTTTGGTCACCTTCTCCTAATATCTTCCTTGCGATCAATATATTCATAGGTTTTATTTACATTCAGCTTGACAAGTGAAGTTATGAATCCTTTATGACACCATATAGCTAGATGACGGCAGAGAGACTAAAACAATGTTCAGCTTACCACACATCAGTCGTGATATTTTAACAGAACTTCCAAACAAAAATGCCCTCTTTCCTTGTATCATACACTTCCTGAAATCAGAAGAGTAAATAGAGGACATTTATTGCTCTAAATAATCCATGGGACAATAAGTCAGGTGATACACAGGAAAAAGGAGTCAGGAAGGCTATGAAAAGTAACTAAGTTGATTATAGTCACAGTTCCCAGAGACAAAGAGACGCATCATGCCTTGACTCAGGACCACACGGGGGCTGCCACCAGGGACAAGGTAACAACAAACTGGAATTGCAGGAGAGGGAAGCAGAGTGGGGTTGGTTAGGTTTCTCAAGTTCCCTGGATATTTGGCATTTTGAATTATTCTGCCATCTCAGGTAGTATAGGGGCTGTCCCTAATTATTGGTTACCTGGCCCCCGGGGTGATTAAGATGGGTACAGAGTTGCCCGGGAGGGTGAGGAGCTGATAAGGGGAGTGGGTAGATAGTAGACATAATCAGCTGCTCAAGAAGGAGAGCAGACTGGCATCCACCCAGGGTCTCAAAACGGTCAACACAACAGTTAAAGAAGATGGTATTGCAACTGATCTCTTGAGATATATATATACATATAATTGTACTTTAGATGAAGGTTTACAGAGCAAATTAGCTTCTTATTAAATAATTAGTATACGTATTGTTTTATGAC